GCTGGATCCGTGATCTCTGGGGATCCCTTCCAGCTCAGGATGTTCTATTCCATGATTCTATGCAAATACCATGAGGCAAAATAAATACAATATGAATACAGAAAAAAAAAACAAAAAAACAAAAAAACACCAACCTAGAATATTTGTGGCATTTTATAGAGAACTCTCATAAATTCAGAAAGAGCTTCTTTACAGATGTACGAACTCGAGTTGCTTATTTTGAGCTTGATCCTACCAAACATAATGATGAAAATTGGCATTAAAAGTGCACATTGCTCAAATTCTTTCTAAGAGGTTCAAGAATGAAAGCGGAAGATTTGCTCCGGTCCTTTACTCTAGTCATTGAAGAAAAACACCACACTTTAAAAGGTGTTCACATTAATTCCTCCTATTAGTCTCACCCCAGATTATTTCATTTATTAGCACAAATACACTGAGAATGCATTTATTACTCTACATCCATGCAGAACAGCAATGAATAAGTAYCTTTGAAGTGTGTGCACTTGCATTGCAACATTTAAAGCTCTGAAGCAGAGTCTTTATGTCTGGAAGCTGTTTCCCCTGGAAAAACCAAGCAGTTTAATAAAAGATGATGCAGGCCTCTGTAATCCTGTCTTGCTAAAATTTCTCTGCACTTGACAAACTTTGGAATGAGACCTTTTTAATCGACAGGAGGAATGCACAGACTCCGCAGTCAGGATTTATTTGCAAAGTGATTTGTGTGCTGTTTGTATTCTTCAAAATTAATCTCAGCTCTCAGTTTTATTTTGCTGATATATCCCATCAATTCCATTAGGACCAAATGCTTCTACTCCGTGCCTTTCCACTCACTAACTCAAAAACCATTATTCAAGTATCAGCTCTGTTCTGAGCAGTTCTTAAGAGCTGAATTTGCAGTGGGTTTTAAAGGTGCATTTGAGAGCACACAACAAATTCTGCTTGTGTGTGTGTTGTTTCTGTTTGTGCAAAACATCTTTTCATATTTAGTCTCCAAAGCACCTAATTCAATGTTTGTACAAATCAAACATGAGTATGAAATGTGCCAGGTACGCTCTACAATAGAGACAAAAATTGTAACCAAGATCTACATAATTAGATTTGCTTCAAGGATGTTTCCTTTGAAGCAATTAAAGGATTTGTTTGAAGATTATACTAAAACTTCCAACATGTGAAAAGCACATGCGAGCAATATTGCCTCTGTAATGGCACAAAAGCACATTTATATCCAGAAAATGCAGCAGACAGGGGCCACACATTCAATATCACTCTCTTCACAATGTTAAAGATTCCCTGCACTAATTCACTATATCCAGTTTTACTGAGTCCTTCATTTAAAGTCTGGCAAAACAAGAAAAAAGAAAAGCAAGGTAAGTCACCAGGCAGAAAAAAAGAGTCAATAAAGGAAGTTAAGAGAATGAAGGAGATACTCCCAGGTGTGCAAATGTTTTGGCAGGTGAAAAAAACCCCAAAGTTTGGAGGAAGTGTAARTGGAGAAGCCAGGAGGAGGAACCAGGTGAGTGCAGATTTGCGAGCTCTGGAAAGGAGGTTATTTTTAAATTGCAGTGGAGGAGAAACCAATGAGGGTGACAGAGGACAAACCACAGCCCAACTTCCCAGAGAAGGAAAGCATTTTTGCTCGTGACATTCTGTCCACCYTGAAGTTTTGGGAAGGACTGCCAAGAGCTGTAATTGAGGGAGTTGCTGCTTTGCAGGCGGGAAGGATTAAGAGCAGCTCTGAAAGCTGTGGAGCACCTCTGCTCCCCCTGACTACACGGCAGCCTGGAGGACTCACAGCACCCGCCAGCCTTGGGAGAAAAAAATACATCAGAAACACGGATGGTTTTCCGGAGAGGGAGAAAAAAATAGAGAGAAGAATTCCAAAAATATTCTAAGCCCTTTTAATGAATAAACTAAAAATTTCTCCCTATGGGAGCAAACTTCGCTTTCTGCTCGTTTCCGTCTATAACATGCAGTGCTTTAATTATGCAGCAGTCTCAACAAACAGCATCACAGTATTTTGGTTAATTCTATTTAAAATGCCAGCAGAAGATGCGATAATGTCTTCCTTAGTTTGGCTTAGTTGAACCTACCCACTTCTATTCACCAGTGACTCAAACAATTCAGGGTATTATAACCACCAAAAAAACCCTGAATATAGTAGAAATATTTAGACCTGGATATACCCTGAAAATCAAAATACTACAGAGCACAAACCCAGGATTCTCCCCAGCTACTCAAAATAATTTTAAAGCTTGACTAAAATATTCCAGAAAGAATGGGTTGAATWAAACATTTTTAGATGTGAAATACGCACTTTGCTGTCTCTGTGAAATTGAGATATGCTACTAACCCCAGAGAAACAAATGAGAACAGATATATAATACCTGATATAAATGTAAATTGACACAGCACTAAAAGTCACTGGATAGAAAGCTCATTACACCTTCTGACCCTGAGTTTTGACTGGAAAGTGGCTCCTCTAATCAAGACTTGGGAATGCACTTGAAGTGTGTCCTCTTCAGTAACAGATAGAGCCATTGACATTCCCTCTATGATACTATATGCTATTCATTTATCCACAGAATTTCCAAGATTATCATGAAGTTAACTGCTATCCATAATTCTGTTTGTCTAGATTTTTTTTTTTACTCAACTCCAGGAGGCAGCTAATGTGACAATAATGCRCTTGGTTATTCAGGGGGAATTGAACTTTAGTGATAAACAATTAAAGTATTCATACCTGCTCACCACCAAATCTGCATTTATGAACAGAGCATTCTTTTCTAAGAACAATTCTAAGGATAGTTCATCCCTGGTGGGCACAGATGGCTCATGCAAGTGCAAGGCTGATTCACTGACTGGAGGTAACACATTGAGCTGCAGAATAAACCAATGCATGGCAACAAGCAAAGCTTTGGGGCAGCAGAAAAGCTGGGAAATAGAAAAAAAGAATCATTTGCCCTGTGTTATTGTTCTAACTTTGAAAGGAAATTACAAAATCCGTGGCAATAATGTTATTTCATACATGTGCAAACCAGAACCTCCATAGAATCAATGATCTGGTATTTGGCTGCATAGTCCACACTTCCCTTTTGGTTTTTGTTTTTAAGATTTCTCAGAGCATAAACAACTTGATTCATCAGACTGGAGATGGAACGTGACCTATAGGTGTAAGAGTCTTTTGGAATGCACAGGAACATACTGCAAAGAGCTGCTTTGGTAAGAATCCTCAGCTGACAGAGGTGAAGAGTGGTGACTAATGATATAAAAGAAAATGTGAACAGCTTGTGGGGTTTTTTGACAAATGGAATATGCACATTTTTGTTGGAAATGGGAGGTTAGCTAACTAGGAAACACTTACAGTCAGGTCCTTTAAAGCACAAATCTGTGGTTATTAGAGAAGACTTTTGGAATCACAAAACACCTCAGAGAAGACTTTTGGAATCACAAAACCCTTCAGTCTTAAATTCCTTAAAGGAGTCCCAGTGACCAAAGACCTCATGCTATACATTTATACATTCAGAGAAAAAAAAAAACCCAAACAAATCTTGCCTTACCCGGCCAACCAGGATTGGTTCAGGTCCAGAAAATTCTTCCAGTACAAACATTTGATTCCAAACCCAGCCTCTCTTGGAACGGTGCAAAACTCTTTGTTCTTCATTCAGCCTTTTTAGTCCTGTACTGGATCCACTCGGTAGTACTTGAGATTGATTCATTGGAGCCATATAAATGGAAGGAAGGACAGTAATCCATAATATTATTAATGGAGTCCATGTATCCATAAGCATTTCCGTTAGTCTTTCTGGCATTGTACCACGAGCTACGCAAATCACCACAGAAATGAAATTATTATTTTGCTTTCCTCCAGACTGTAGCGATCCAATTCATCATGCAGTACAGAACATTTACTTACAGCTCCTCCATGTGTTTACAGCACAGTCAATGTAAAAATAGCTTAGATGATAAAAACATGATCCATTGAGTTTTCCAGTCATTAAAGATTCCTGGTGGGGAGGAAAAAAAAAAAAAAGTTTAAATCAGTGACTAAAGAGCTTAGGAAAGCATTCCAAAATATCTTATTTACTTTTACATCATAAATAAGCCATGTTAGGTTTTAAATTTGTAGTTCATAATATTTTTGCAGATTAAATGGGTTACAAATAAATTGATTCTGTACATTCTTTCATTGTCTGAAACACTGAGAGAATACCCAGAGGAATGATTACACACACTTAGGAAAATATTTAGGCCTAAGAACTGGAAGTGTCCAAGGMCAGGTTGGATGGGGCTTGCAGACACCTGGGATGGCAGAAGGTGGAAATGGAATATCTTGAAGGTTCCTCTCAACCTAACTCTAATTCTGGGACCATGAAGTTTGTCTGAGGATCTGAAGAAGCTCCCAACCTTGTCACTACCTGCACTTTCAATACAAACACATTGTCTGTCAAATAAGCAAATCAAAAGAATGTTCTTTCACTCTTACTCTCCTTTCCTCCACCAGAACAAAAACCCCAAACTTCTCCCCAGTGTCCAAGGCTCCAGCATCCCATTGTCTGTYTAACCATCACCTCCCTGCACAGCACCACTGCCCAGCAAACCCTTCAGARCCCAGCAGAGGAACAGCACTGCTAAATCCTCTGTGAGATCCACAATCCCCAAASCAGATCACTGCCAGCACCTAAGGAGCTCATTTATGCACATCTGCACTGCAGGTGCACTGTCTGTCCTTGGCTTTCAGAGAAAACACACAGTCGTGTTTCATTTCAAAGACATTTTCCTAGACGGTCACTTGGGAGCATTTTGTCTTTTTATCCCTGCCCACCCTTTGATCTACTAGAAGGCCACATCAGGTTTCATCTCAGTGGAAATTTCTCTTGAAATGGAAAAGCAAGTTAAGAGAGCAGGGCTGATGCCAGAGGGATGGGCAAAACCCGAAATGCAGCCATGGACTGCATGGAAAGGTGATGGGATGTGGCTCAGGGACAAGGGCTGCACCACAGAGTCATGGAGCTCCGGGAGAAGAGGCTTGACACATTTTCTCTGATTCATATCCACACAATCTCAGGAGAAACCACCATACAGAAGGGCAGGAATGCCTATTCTCAAGCTTAGKCTGGATTTCTTCCACTTGAAAATGAACTCCTAGTGTTGCATGTGTGTGAAAATTCCGAGAGTTTGTGTGAGTGGGTTTGTGTGTGGTTTTTGTGCTTTTTCATTTTGTTTTGGTTTTTTTTGTTTGTGTTTATTTTGCTTGTTTGTGCTTTTTTTAATTTTGTTTTGTTGTTTTTTGGGAGGTGGGCTGGTTAGTGGTTCCTTTTTAAGGTTCACACAACACTCATGGCACAAAACATGAAGAACACCAGTACAAATCGGTTGTTAAAAATCATTTAAAAAAATCATTTAAAAAAAAAATGTAGAAAGGTTTTTTTTTTGTTTTTTTTGGTTTTTTTTTTTTTTTAACTTCAGCAATTGCCAAAGCAACTGTGAAATCTGTTGCGTGAAACCTGAAACTGTGAGAAACTTGTCTTGTTAGAAGGGGAGAGGAGCTGCTACCAAAGTGAAACAATCTCTCCAGCAGCACGGAAGAACAGCGAGCTAATAGTGCAGGGCTTTGAAARTGCAGAATGAGGGGAATATCCATTCCAGGAGAACCTGGAGCTTCACAGGCCTCATTGCCAACTGGGGTGGAAATAAAGAAATCACAGAGTACAGCAAGCTCCTGAGAGGAGGTTTTGGGGGAAATGTGAGAGAAGCAAGAGAGGCCTTAAATGTCTTGGCATTCTCTCAATCCCAGAAAAGGAAGAGGAGCAACCAGATTAATGATGGGATGCATCAGCCACCCTCTGAAAAGGCTCTTCAGTCTGGGGAATTAAATTGAGTTTAGTGCTGCTGCTTTCTGGCACAGGTTAAAATGAGATTTTCAGGGGTACGTCTGGTGGTAGAAGGTAGCAAAAGAGAGAAACAGCCAAACTTTCTGTACAAGTGGTTAAATTTGCTCACATGGGATTCTCCTTATCTGATTGGATGCGTGGGTGCTGTGCCTGCCAGGACACAGAGTTTTCTGATTTCTTCAGTGGAGTAAGAAATAAAACACAGCAGAAATAAGACTACTGTAAAATAGARCAAAAGACAGCATCTTCAACAGACATCCAGGATTAAATTCAGAATGGGAGGCAGAAATTAAAAACACAACTTAAGGATCTTTCTCTGAGTAACTGATTTTCAGTTTCATATACAAAGGGATTTTTGATCCAGAAATAGAGTCACACCAGAAAGAGAATACTGTGTTACACCTTGCTCTGTCCAAGGCCTAAAAAGGACTCAAGTGGGCCATTAATTACTTCCTTACTCTCCCAGAACAAGTTGGTATGGTTCTTTTAATCAACGGGACCAAATAATAATAGTAATAATAAACAATAATAATTAATAATAAAAATAATAATGTATAATGAATAATAATTAAGGATAAATAATAATAATAATAATAATAATAATAATAATAATAATAATAATAATAATAATAATAAAGGACTTATTTTCCTATTCAAGAAACTTTTTGAAAACGATTCCTTATAAATCGATCCAGTCTGCCTTCTGAAAGGGATGAAGCAAACGAGATGAAGCAATACGGTCCTCCCAGAAACATTTCTGTTTGCAGGAAGAACAGGATATTTGGCTTTCACACCGCCGCTCTCAATCCTTGGAAAGCATTAAGTTCATTTCAGTGCATCCCTCCTCGGTTCCTCCCCCAGATTTCCTGCTTGTTACTCCTCATTTACTCCAATCAAATGTAGGTCCTGTGTGCTCTCATTAATAGAGAAGATTTGCTGTGACTGGGCTGTGCTCACGGCAGCTCTGTGTTCAGCTGTACCTTAAGGCAAACGGGYCCAAAGCACATCAGAAATATCAGCAATGCCATTAAACATCCCCAGTGAGCCACCCCCACAGCCACACCGGCTCAGGGGACACAGAGCTGGGAGATCCTGAGCACTGACAGCAAAGCTGGGCAGGGCAGGGCAAAGGAGAAGCGAAATCTGATGGGACTTTGGCACGGACCAGTTCTGCAGAGGAATGTGATCAGCGTGGGGCAATGGAACTGGATAAATTTCTCTACTGCTCAACCTGGGCCTTGTGAGAGCTGAGAAACACACTCTCATTCAGGCTCCATCAGGGTATATACTGTGTGCAATGCCTGCAGGTGGGATTGACTCCAAATTTCTTTACCAACTTTAGAAATTACTTTTCTGCTCCATTCCTGGGAGCAAAACACTGCGTGTGTGGCTTGGGGCTGATGGAAGGCATTTAAAATATGTGGCCCAGCAATTTTCACATTGGCTAATAGGAAAATCAAGAAGTGCCTGGCAGTTAAAGTGTAATCCTCTGGATTGGATGTGTAGGAGGAATTGATAGGGCTGCTGAAGCAGGCTATGAGAACATATTAAAAGCCATATGTGAAGGCAGACTTAGAAATRAGGGATGACCAGAAGGTGAGGCACAGTAGCACTTTCCCTTCTCACATCCTGCCATGGTCTAAAGAAGTGGTGAGTGTGGAATGACAGAAAAATCATCCCAGTGAAGCCAGAGCCACCTTTTTCTAAGCAACAGAAAAAGACAAGCACAAAATGGCCCTGAAAGAGTATTTCATAGAATCACAGAAACACAGAGTGGATTGCGTTGGAAAGGACCTTAAGGATCACCCCATCCCACCCAGCCATGGCAGGGACAGCTCCCACTGTCCCAGGCTGCTCCCAGCCCCAATGTCCAGCCTGGCCTTGGGCACTGCCAGGGATCCAGGGGCAGCCACAGCTTCTCTGGGCACCCTGTGCCAGGGCCTGCCCACCCAAACAGGGAACAATTCCTTCCCAATCTCCCATCTGGCCCTGCCCTCTGGCACTGGGAAGCCATTCCCTGGCTCCTGTCCCTGCAGCCCTTGGCCATTGTCTCTCTCCATCTTTCCTTTGGCTCCTTCAGGCCCCAAAAGGCCACCCTGAGCTCAGCCCAAAGCTTCTCCTCTCCAGGCTGAACAATCCCAGCTCTCCCAGCCTTTCCTCCCAGCACAGCTGCTCCATCCCTCTCCCTCATAAGAGAACTGTGGTAAAGGTTTTGAATTTGCCATTAATGCAGAACAAACMCAAAGTCCACCAAAACAGGGCTATCAAGACCCCATATCCAACAAATAAACATGTAATCGTCTCCTGCACAGCTCTGCTCCAYGCTGATCCTGTTCCCAGCACAGATCCATTAAATTGTACCTGAATTTGATTTAAATCACCTCGGGTAAGGCAGCGTGCTCCTGTTTCCTCTGCAAARCAATGAATACTTCTGGCCATATATAACAGCCCCCACTCCTCAGTGGATTATTTGGGTAAAGRCCAYTCACTTACTCACAAAGTATCAAATKRAGAGGYGATATTCCCCCTCAGAGCAGGATGGGGAGGCAGTGAGGCTGCAAGGAGCCCGTCTGCCATGGCAGTGCCCACTGCAGCCACTCCAATGCCCTGGCCAGRCTCCGCCAGCAGAGCTGCTGTGCGCTCACTCCCTAACCCAGTTCTGTCAAAGCCATCTTGTTAACTTAAACGCCTTTAATAGTGAGGTGTTTTCAAAGCCGAATCGTTCTGACAGAGCTGGGTTAGGCCATTGCTCACGCCGTAATTCCACCAAGAGCAATTTTCATTTAAGAGGCTCTCAGCCCCACCTCAGCCCCYACGACATGCGAGCTGCACATTTCAAATAATTGGTCTCCATTCCCACTCCTCCTTCACTGCAGTTCACTGTCCCCTCTGTGCAATCAACTCTGCCAGACAGGYCGGTGAAATGTGGGTTAACAAAAAAACAATTTGCAACAAAACCCTGCTTCGAGACGACTTTTCCTTCAGGATTC